CGTGTCTGTGAAATTTCCACGGAGTCGCAGAAAACTGCGCTCAGTCCTAACGTCTCTCCATCCAGATCGTTCCCAGTCAGAGGGGGGGGAGATAATCCTAGGAATGATGAGGACAATCAGAAAAGCCAGAAAAAGTGGAGGAGCATCCGGGATAGACTCATCCAGCCATCCACAGGAGGTATCATCATGCTAAGTGGATGGCTGGATGAGTCTATCCCGGATGCTCCTCCACTTTTTCTGGCTTTTCTGATTGTCCTCATCAGTCCTAGGATTATCCCCCCCCCCTCTGACTGGGAACGATCTGGATGGAGAGACGTTAGGACTGAGCGCAGTTTTCTGCGACTCCGTGGAAATTTCACAGACACGTTCCTGGGATGGATGTCCGGAGGAGTCTCCAGGTGTCAGAGGGGTAGGAGCGGCTGACATTACAGAGTGAGTGAACAAGAGGCTGCAGCGAGTCTTTCACTCTGCATTATAGGGGTGCAAGTAATAAGTTGGAGATCCGATTATTTAAAGATGGGTGTGCAGATCCAGTCTCCTTCCATTTGTTGGGATGATGTTGGTTAGGATATGGAAGGCGGTCTTCTACAGAGAGTATACTCCACTCTTTAAGTAGGTTTATACCATCGTCTAGTCCTTTGATGACGAAGGTCCTCCCCTGGTGTTTGATGATGAGTTTGGTGGGAAAGCCCCATTGGTAGGCGATGTTGTGGTTTCTTAGGGCTTTTGTGATAGATATCAGCTTTTTCCAAGTGAGGAGGGTTTCTTTGGATAGGTCAGCGTAGAGTTTAATGCCCACAAATGGAGTGGAGAATGCTGTGGAGTTTCTAGCCGCCATCATGAGCTTTTCCTTGATTTGGTAGAAGTGAACTCTAATTAAAGCGTCTCTGGGAGTTGATGCTGGTAGAAATGTAGGTTTTGGAATTCTGTGCACTCTATCAAGGAGGCTTCTGTAGGAGTGATAGTTGGGATTAAAAGTTTCATGAGTTGTTGTATATATGAGTGAAGAGAATCGTTAGACACCGTTTCTGGTATCCCATGGATTTTTATATTGTTGCGTCTTGATCGGTCTTCAAGATCCGCTATTTTGCTTTTAAGTGTATTGATTTTGGATCCTTGGTCGGCATATGCATCTACTACTGTATTATGTGCCGTGAACATGGTAGACATCTGATTTTCAATAAGATGCAGCCTTTTTACATGGTCAGTGATAGCGGTAGAGATTGGGGATATTACTGTTGTTATATCACTGTGTAGTGTTTGGTGCAGACATAGTAGCATATTTTTCATCGCTAGTTCAGAGACCGGTTGGTCAGAGGCTGGAAATTCTTCAATGGCAGATTGGATTTGTAGTATAGGCGTGTTCAGAATAAGTGAGAAGTGAGGTACACTTAAATGAGGGTCTTCAATTCTGGGCCTAGACTTAGCAGGGCTTCTAGAGGAGGGTGAGAGTGGAGGAGAAGACTCACCAGGGTCCCCATCGTATATAGGTACTCTTACTCTGGGATCTGGAGTGTAGGAGCTGGATTCTGCAGGATGGCTGGAGCAGCTGTGCAGGGATGACCTGACACCATCTTGGCAACGTGTGTCTCGGGCCGGGAAGAAATCCCTGAGGTGCTGAGGAGCTGCCAGGGACTTACATCTCCTCGGCATGATACCGGGTGATTCGGGGAGGGGGGGGGGTTTCTCCGCTTATTTTAGGACGTCAGGGTCCCTTGTGTCCAGCTGGATGCTGCTGAGAATGCAGAGTGGCAGCAGAGCTCAGTTACAGAGTGGCCATATTGGATTGTGGCCGCGCATGCCCCAACAAGACAATTTTAACCCATTCGTGACCAGAGGTCCCTAATTTTTAGATGCCCAGGGCAAATGATCATTTGTATATTTTTTAAGGACATTAAGGTTTTTATTTGCTTTATTAAAAGGTTTTATATTAATTATTGGCTAAAAATGCACAAAATGAAAAAATAATACAGTAATTGTATCTGACAATTACAGTAGTAAAGAGAGGCAGTGCCATTTGCAAGGTGAAGCGTTGTTTTTCAACGAATGCTTCAGCCTGCATGTAATCATTATGTTATGCAATCGCAAAAAACAAACAGAGGGCACACTGGCCTAGTGCATTATCCTTTAATATATTTAAAGTATAAAAGGTAAGTATTTTACTTACAAAATCTTAAAAGTACAAATTCATTTCATGAGTAAAGCACAAATGGTCCGCAAACATCAAGATGTAAGACAACGATGGAACTACCAACGCCAAACACGTCTTGAGGACCTATCCTCTTCCTCAGAGCCTACTCAAGTAGGCTTGAGTAGGCTCTGAGGAAGAGGATAAGTCCTTGAAATGCTTTAGCCTTTGGTTGTTCCATCATTGTCTTATATCTTGATGTTTGTGGCCATTTGTGCTTTACTCATAAGATGAATTTGTACTTTTAACATTTTGTAAGCATAATATTTACCTTTTATTCATTAAATATTTTAAAGGATAATGCACTAGGCCTGTGCGCCCTCTGTTTGTTTATTGTGATTGCAGTGCCCATAGACCTCCCCAGTCTTAAGAGGGAAGCAAGGCAGGTGCACCCCAAGAAGGTCAAGCTTTGACTGCAGCCTACTAACTCTTCTCTGGCCCATTCTCCAAGCGCAGGAAGATCAAATTTTTCCATTTCTTTGTCAAATATTATGTTATAGCTGACATTGTGATCACTTGATTGGGAACCACTATTCCTGATCATTAGTAGGGATCAGAGCTGTTACTTAAGGGATAAGTTCACCTTTGGGAACATGTTACATGTTCTTCCCCTTTTTTAGGAGAAGTTTCCCCACAATATCTGTCAGATTTGAAAACAGCTCTGCCCACACGGCTGCATCACTCATTCACAGAGCTCTGTGAATGTGTCCCTACAAGTCCCTCTAGCCTTAGTGACTATGGGCTTGTAGTTTTCAATGAACTATCAGGGTGCTATGGAGCACCGTGGTAGTTCTTTGAAGCTTCCTCTCAGAATATCTGCTTACTCGTACATCCCGTACGGCAAGCAGATATTCTGACAGGTCTGCAGGAAACCTGCATGGCATCAGAGATATACTGATTGCTGTTGCAATGCTTTCCAGGCTCCTGCAGATAAAAATAATAAATGCACATTTTTGAACCTGCAAAAAATGTGCATTTATTATTTTTATCAAAAAGGTGAACTTATCCTTTAAATCTAATTTTGAGAGCTAGCATCCATCTAATTTTATTACCTGCTAACTTTCAAAAAGAAGATGTTCCTCATCGTGCTGAGGAATGTTAACATAAGGTTTTTGCTTGGGAACGAGTGAATTTGTCAAACCAGTCAAAAGTGGGATTTTAGTTTTTAAAAGATACTAAAACCTTTAAACATGTTAAGGTTTTTTTTAACTCCCATAGAGATTGCAACTAATTTTCTATTGCCGTCTTGAATCCGCTAGGGCTGCACTATCTTGGACATCAGTTTTAGGTGACCACTTGAGGTACTGAACGGTTGTGAGGAATTAGGAGATTGCCATTACCAGTTTCTTGTTGTAACAACTTTATCTTTGGCTGTTATTCTGATGCTTTTTAGCAGCAATGTTGTATAATTGCTGATCTGTAAGTAATATACAACTAAGGAGAAAAAGGTCTGTATTTTTCCTTCAAAACAATTCCAGACAAGTGAAATCTTACATATATACAGTATATCAACTCCTAGAATCTAGAGTAGTTCAACACTACACCAAATTTGTTTTCTGTAAATAAAAATCATAGGTGGGGGTATTCTGGAAGCAATGTACATTGCTTGTAGGAGAAGTTTTCATTTTGCTCTGAGTGTCCTATGAGGCTGCATAACCCATGATACTCTGTCTGGAAAGTGCTGATTGGCCCTGTGCTGATCACATGCATCCTCCCAAAGAAAATAAAAACACTTTCTAGCAATACACACTAAACTGAACATGTGCAGAGTGAATCCTAGAGACCTGTACTATCAACAGATGAATTGGGGACAGTAGAAGAAGGGGAGGATCAGAGAAGACAGGATCAAACAGCCTTTTTTACACAATGCAGAGGATTAACCTCTTAAGTTCCAAGCCAAACCTCTTGAGTATAACAAGCATGCTTTTCTGCATATACAGACTGATTTTACTGATGTGGGGTTAGTGACACTTTAACAGAATGTGAGTGGATATATTTGCAGTGTAAGGGAAATCACCTCTTAGACAGCTGTCACCAGAAGAAGTGTCTCCATTGGGGACAGACTAAAACATGTAATGTGAAAATGGCTTAATGTAGCTTAACGTGTAATAAACTGCCTAAATCTCAATCAATTGACTTGAAACTTTGCATATCCCAAGATCTCAACATCCCGAACATGTTCTGGAAGTTTCATAGATTTTGGCCTGCCACAAAGAAAATGGGGGACATTAAGGTTGTTTTTTGAGGAGCTTAATGTGGCTTAACATACAAAAAAGAGCTTAGATGATAACCAATTTCCCCCAAACTGCACACAATAGAAGACTCTATCTATGGAAAGATATTCAAACATTTCAGATCATTTGGTAAATCACACCAAAAGTTATTCACATTAACTTCCTCCCACCCGCCATATAGTAATATGAGGGACGCAAGGTGGTTCTCTGGTTCTGGGAGGACATCATATGACGTCCTCCCATTCTAACTGCGCATGCGCGGCTCCCGGAGCATGCAGCGTGGTGATCGGTGGTGCGCTGTCTCCCTCAGGAACAGCGGATCACCGATACACAGAAAGAGCCGAAGATGTCGGCTCGGTCATGTGATCAGCTGTGTCCAATCACAGCTGATCACATGCAAACAGGGAAATGCCAGTTATCTGCATTTCTCTCCTCTCAGGCTGTCATGCTGACAGCTCGAGAGGAGAGGAGAGCCGGTAATTGGCATTCCGCGGGGGGGGGGGGGGGGGGGGCATGTACACTGATCATCAGAGCACTGATGATCAGTGTGCCCTGATGATCAGTTTAGCCCCAGCAGAGCCACCTGTCAGTGTCCATCAGTGCCAGCTCTCAGTGCTCATCCATGCCACCTGAAAGTGCCCATCAATGCCACATCAATGCCACATATCAGTGCCTACCAGTGCCCATCTGAGCTGCCTTTCAGTGTCACCCGTCAGTGCCACCTATCAATGCCAATCAGTGCCACCTATCAGTGCCAGTCAGTGCTGCCTATCAGTGCCAGTCAGTGCCGTCTATCAGTGTGCATCAGTGCCACCTATCAGTGCCCGTCAGTGCCTCCTATCAGTGCCAGCCAGTGCCACCTAACAGTGCCAGTCAGTGTCACCTAACAGTGCCAGTCATTGCCGCCTATCAGTGCCAGTCAGTGCCATATATCAGTGCCATATATCAGTGCTGCCTTTCAGTGCCCATCAGTGATGCCTGTCAATGCCCATCAGTGCCACCTATCAGCGTCCATCAGTGCCACCTATCAGTGTCCATCAGTGCAGCCTATCAGTGCCCATCACTGCAGCCTTATTAGCGCACATCAGTGAAGGGGAAAAATCACATTTTGTTTTCAACATTTTCAGTGGTTTTTGGTTTGTTTAAGAAAAAATAAAAAACCCAGTGTTGATTAAATAGCACCAAAATAAAGCTCTATCTGTCACAAAAAAATGATAAAAATGTCATATGGGTACAGTGTTGCATGACCGTACAATTGTCATTTAAAGTGCAACAGCGCTGAAAACTGAAAAATGGCCTGAGCAGGAAGGGGGTATAAGTGCCCTGTAGGCTAGCGGTTAAGCTATATTTTACAATGCTAAAACATTTAATGTTAACAGCTTAATGTAAACAGATTGAGATTTAGGCACATTATGGTAAATTAAGCTCTTTTTACAGTAAGCTGATTACATTAAATGTTTTAGCATTGTAAAATATAGCTTATTGTGAATAACTTTTCAGAATATGTTGCCATAGATAGAGTCTTCTATTGTGTGAAGTTTGGGGGAAATTGGTAAACATCTAAGCTCTTTTTTGTACGTTAAGCCACATTAAGCACCCCAAAAAACAAGCTTAATGTCCCCCATTTTCTTTGTGGCAGGCCAAAATCTATGAAACTTCCAGGACATGTTTGGGATGTTGAGATCTTGGGATATGCAAAGTTTCAAGTCAATTGATTGAGATTTAGGCAGTTTATTACACATTAAGCTACATTAAGCCATTTTCACATTAAATGTTTTAGTCTGTCCCTCTCCATTGTAATATTTCCACTCTATTTCCTTCTCTGGTGGCATATCCAGACTTTGGATTTTCCCTCAGTTTCATTTTTGGTGACATGGTGTGGTGATCAAGACACTTAGAAAGTGAATCTTCCTAAGTGGTAAATTAAAACAAGAAAAAACAGTGAGCCTTTAGTCACACTTTCACTCTTGGTACACATGTCCCTAAGTCTACAGTATGATAGCCCATATATAACATTTCTTAAAACTAGAAAAAAAAAAAAAAAGCTTTCTTTCTAAAATGTGCATGCGTCACGCTTGCTAAACAATGTTAACTGTAATTCTGCCTACCGCCAGGCAATTTCACCCCAAACAGTGTAAACATTTGTATTGTTTTTGCCTTTAAAATAAATTGTTTTAGGTTTCAAACACTGGAAAGCATAGATACACAAGCCTGTTCCCAACTGTTTTTGGGGAATCTCCATGGGAGTTAACTGCTTCTTTCTTTTTTATTGGTAGCTAATGTGCATAACTGTTGTTTTCTAGTTCTGGGGTATATGTGTTTTTATATACATTGCTTATACTGTATTTGTGTGTATGTCTTTCAACATGACATGAATTGTTGATGTAATTGTATGTCCTGGTTTATAGAGGAGATAAGTTGTTGCTCTCTTCATTTCTCCTTTATGGGGCTATACAGGACAGCCAGTCCATTGACTTCACATTTAATGTTCATGTCTCCATGATGTTCCTTGTAGATTGTTTTTGTTTGCAACCCTTTCCGTTTTAAGTGTGTGATGGGGTCTTGGGTCTCTCTAAGCTAACATTGAGCAATGCACATTTTGACAGCAAACTGCTATTCTTTAAACTATTGTTTCATTTTTTTCTGCTTTTGAGTTAGATTAGGTTTCATTTATCAACAAACTCACAGGCAGCCCTCCCCACAGCTAAGATTCACATCAGAATTGTTTAATCACATGGTAGAGGGTCAGCCTTAAAATTCTAACATGACCTCTATCCAGGTATGCAGCCTGAGAAACTAAGAAAGAGAGAGCAGTAAATAGGCATCCCCCTTCCAGTAACAGACTAGGCCTTGCAATGGAAGCAGCTAAGCCTCAAGCTGCTTTCAAAACACCTTGCCCCAAAGTTAAGGGACAAGGGCCTATTCTACACATTAGGTTCTTCATTCAGAATGCAGAGGTTTGTGAGGGAATTTATAGTGGCAACATCCTTTACATTGTGAAAAGGGTTCCTCATATATTCACCCTTTCCCAGAGGAATGAGTAAACCCATGAACAAACATTTTCAAAAAAGTAAATTAAAATAAACATGCAGACACCTTAATAAAGTATTTTAATAGAAAGAAAACATACATACAGACTCTACTGTAGCTCTGCTGAATGCCTTAATAACGGTAAACATCCTTGGTAATGTCAATGTGAGTTTTTGCACGTGTGCATTGGTGCTCAGCATAGCGCAATAATGTGTGGAGTCCCAGTACCATAAGCAGAAACACATTAATGTATATTAACACATGATTTGCTACAGCATTACTATTACCAGATACAGACAGGTATTGCTTCCACACTGCCTTCATGCCATATTGGTCTTTCCAATACAGGTACATTCTAAATGCACATACTGTGCTTTGTATACATTAAGTATACCACTGTATACATGAATATAGCTTTCTTCAGCAAGGGTAAAGGCAAACAGGCCATAATCCTTGTATAATCAAGATCACAAACTGGCTCACCACTAGTATACCAGCCCCACACTTAGGTTTAAGGTTCCTGTCTGTTTCAGGGTACAAGAAAAAATGAAGGAGCTCAGCAAACAGAGCCTCAGTCCCCAGAGATCCCATATTTTCTCACAGCTGTGGACTACTCCAGTCCACATCATAAACAGGTGCTGACTCCTTTCTGATCCTTTTCAAGCTTTCCTTGCAGGCGGGTTAACTTTTTTGGGGACAATGTCCCTATAATCACTATTTGGATTTTCTTTCCCACCCAAAGTCTCTCTGAGCCTCCAAATGCAAACGTATCAATCCTGAGAGAACTGCCAATCAACCCTCTCCTTTCATGCTGGACTACCCTGGAACCCTTCACCCAGCATGGGTGAGAATCACTGAGTAACCAAAACATCTCTTATCATCCCACTTAAAGGAACCAACGCCAAATAATGAGAAAATATACCTGCCATCCAGGACCCATCCCTGGTGTCCAAGTATAACATAAACACTGATTAGCCATAACATTAATATACACTATATTTCCAAAAGTATTGGGAAGCCTGCCTTTACACACACATGGACTTTAATGGTATCCCAGTCTTAGTCTGTAGGGCTCAATATTGAGTTGGCCCACCCTTTGCAGCTAGAACAGCTTCAACTGTTCTGGGAAGGCTGTCCACAAGGTTTAGGAGTGTGTCTATGGGAATGTTTGACCATTCTTCCAGAAGTGCATTTGTGAGGTCAGGCACTGATGTCAGGCAAAAAGGTCTGGCTCGCAGTCTCCTCTCTACTTTATCCCAAAGGTCCTGACCTCGGGTTGAAGTCAGAACTTTGCAGACCAGTTATGTTTCTCTACCCCAAACTCACTCATCCATGTCTCTATGGACCTTGCTTTGTGCACTGGTGCGCGGTCATGTTGGAACAGGAAGGGGCCATCTGCAAACTGTTCCCACAAAGTTGGGAGCATAAAATTGGCCAAAATGTCTTGGTATGCTGACACCCTAAGAGTTCCCTTCACTGGAACAAAGGGGCCAAGCCAACCCCTGAAAAACAACTGCACAGCATAATCCCCCCTCCACCAAACTTTACACTTGGCACAGTGCAGCCAGGCAAGTACCATTCTCCTGGCAACCGACAAACCCAGACGCATCAATTGGATTGCCAGACAGAGAAGTGTGATTCATTACTCAAGAGAACACATTTCCACTGCTTTAGAGTCCAGTGGTGGTGCTCTTTACACCACTGCATTCAATGCTTTGCATTGCACTTAGTGATGTAAGGCTTGGATGCAGATGCTCAGCCATGGAAACCCATTCCATGAAGCTCTATACGCACTATTGTTGTGCTAATGTGAAGGCCATACAAAGTTTGGAGGTCTTTAGCTATGGACTCTGCAGATAGTTGGTGACTTCTGAGCACTGTGCTCTTCAGCATGCTGACCCCGTTTTGTCATTTTACATGGCCTACCACTTCATGGATAAATTGTTGTTGTTCCTAGTTGCTTCCACTTTGTTATATCCCTAAAAGTTGGACCGTGGAATAGTTAGTAACAAAGAAATTTTACATATGGACTTATTGCGCAGATGGCAACCTATCACGATACCACGCTTGAATTCACTGAGCTCCTGAGAGAGAAATATTTCACAAATGTTTGTAGAAGCAGTCTGCATGCCTAGGTGCTTGATTTTATACACCTGTGGCCATGGAGGTGATTGGAACACCTGAATCCAATGATTTGGAGGGGTGTCACAATACTTTTGGCAATATAGTGTATCTGACAGGGAAATTGAATAACATTGATTATCTTGTTATAATTGCATTTAAAAGTTGGTGAAATATATTAGGCAGCAAGTAACGTTGATGTGTTGAAATCAGAAAAAAAATGGCATTGCAGTTTGTTGTGTATGAAATTGCATAGTTCCACACGGGTCATGGTGCCCATGCTGACCAAGATGCACAACAAAAAAGCACTTATAACTGGACCACATAGCAATGGAAGAAGGTGGCCTTGTCTGATGAATCATGTTTCCTTTTACATCATATGGCTGACCGGGTCTGTTTACGTCAGTTACCTGAAGAAGAGATGGCACTAGGATTCAATATGGGAAGAAGGAAAGTTGTGGAGGCAGTGTGATGGTTTGGGATATGTTCTGCTGGGAAACCTTAGCCCTACCATTCATGTGAATGTTACTTTGACATGTACTACCTACCTAAACATTGCTGCTGACCCAGTACTCCCCTTCATGGAAATAGTATTCCCTAATGGCAGTGGCTACTTTTAGCAGGATAAAGCACCCTGCCATGCTGCAAAAATGGTTCAAGAACGGTTTAAGGAACACAAGAAGTAGCTTGAGATCTTGGCTTAGCCTCCAAATTCTCCAGATCTCAATCAGCTACACATCTGTGGTATGTTCTGGAAAAACA